CCAGGCCTACAGTGTGTTCTCCCTTCACAGATATATAGGAAGCTGGAAATCAATTAAATATAAAGCACTTGGATAATCACCAACCACGTTGAAATTCAGCATGTACCTATAGGAAAAGGAAACCAAGAAAGGAAAAAAGCCCATGCGCCAAGAAGAAAAACACAATGAGTGCTAGAGTGTATTACCATTACCCTAAGTCTTCCTCCCCATCAAATCACTTGAGGTAGAGGAAGGAGTCACCTTAGTTCCCTTAATTGCCAAGCAGCCTCCTCTTATATTGATGCAAAAGGATAGGGACAGGTCCCACTGTAACATCTGCATGTTGACACTTCAACCACCCTGGTTAAAAGGAAACGCTTCAACAGAAACCCACAGGCAGACATTTCGACGATCACACCAACTTACCCCTCAATCTCCAGGCACAGGAAGGCTATTATTGGTTAAGCCCTGGTCACCCCACCACCCTTTGGGCCAATGGCCGTGTATCCTGCGCTGCCAGTTGCTCATTGGCTGCTGCCAGCGGAGGCTGGGAGCACAGCTGCTCTCATTGGACTAACCCGTCATCCAGGCATAATTGCAGGGCAAGAACCCTTTTGTGTCAAAAGGGAAACATGGTAGGCAACCAAGGCACAGAATCAGATAAATTTGAAGGAAGTGAAGTATGCCTTACTATTTTATTTAATTTACTTATTTATTTATGTATTTTTTTTATTTTAGCGTTTTATGTTAATCACCTAAAGTAGGCCTTTCACAAGGTCGGGCGCTTGAGTAGGGCACAGTTCTAGATAGGTTGAGTTTTCTGCACGGTGTTTGGGTCCTCTTTTATGTATTTAACTGAATTAGGATGAGGGGATACGTTGAGGGAATGTTAATGGTGTAAGGGTGTGTTTTGTATCTGCTACAGTGCTTCACTTGTTGCTTTATCAACACACTCGGAAATTCTCTATAGGACACGACTCGACACCAGTGGGAGAAGGAGAATACAAAAGGCAAGGAAAATTATGGTGGACCCAGCTGTGACCGTAAGGAGTCCCGAAGACGCTGACCTGAAGGAAGGGACCATGTACGAAAGGTATGAAATGCGACATGGTCAAGGAAAATCGTAACAGCCGGCACCACACACATATATTAAAGTGGACTTGCTCACGATAAAGGTATTTTAAGAACGGGGAGAATGGCAGAGGTCGAAACGCTAGAGTAGGTGGGTGTCTGGAGAGTTACAGGTCTCTTGTGCCAAGTTAGGTGGCTCTGAAAAGAGCCTTTGGTTTCTGAGGTGGTCAGGCTGTGCGGAGGCAGCTCATTGGTGGAAGGTGAACCTGATGATGGCCTTGGTGGCCTCGGACATGGTGTGCTTGCCAATCTCCCCGGGCAGCACTAGGCGCACGGCTGTCTGGATCTCCCTGGTGGTGATGGTGGAGCGCTTGGTGAAGCGGGCAAGGCGAGAGGACTCCTCGGCGATGCACTCAAAGATGTCCTTGACGAACGAATCCATGACGCTCTCGGCCTCCTGCGAGAGGCTCAGGCCCTCGTGAACATGCTTCAGAACCCTGGGGAAGTAGGTGGCGAAACTGTCCGGGCTGCGGTGGCGGCGGCGGAGATGGACAAAGCGGCGGCAGTGGCGGCCACCGCGGCGGCCTCTGCGCCTCGGCTGCTTTTGATTCGGGCTCTTCCAGTCCGCTGCCGTGGTCTCCTCGGTGCCGAGGCTTTCCTCAGAAGAGGTCTCACAGCCAGGTTCAGCCATGTTGGGCTCGCCTTCCCGACAGCTCAGAAGGAAGGGCACTGGCGGCAGCTTGAGGGGTGCCAGCCCATTTATAGTCGCTGCATTTCCTGACGTCACTGGCAAGTCCTTTCTGATTGGACAAAATGCAAAGACAAGAAGCGAGTCACTGAGCCAAGTCTTGTCAGATCTGATTGCTTCCCTCGAGCTTGACATCAAAATCAGGCGGCTTCTAATTTTCTTGTGGCGGCCGCCAGAAATACGTTCAAACATTCCATGTAAACTTGTAGTTTACCTCCAGATGTTGGGTCATGGTCTCAGGGTTGTGAAATACAGAGTAACATCAGGCTCTGTGCTGAGCTTGGAGCCCGCTTGGGAGTCGCTCCCTCTCCCCCTGTCCATTCCCCTACACCCCTCTCTCTCTCTCTGACTCTACTTGAAAAAAAAATTTCATATTGGAAATCTGGAGGAAACTACACCTTTACATGGAATGTTTGAACATTTTTGTAGTGGCTGTCAGAAGATAATTAGAGGACGCCTGATTCCGACTCTGACTGAAGAGACGAAAGGCTCGAGGGCAAGCGGTCAGATCTGACAAGACCTGGGTCAGTGACCCGCTTCTTAGCTTTGCATGTTGTCCAATCAGATAGGACTTGCCGGTGACATCAGGAAATGAGCGACTATAACTGGGCCCTCGCTACTCAAGCCGCCGCCAGGGACCTTCCTTCTGAGCTGTCGGGAAGGTGAGCCCCACATGGCTGAACCTGGCTGTCAGACTTCTTCTGAGGAAAGTCTCAGCACCGTGGAGCCCACAGCAGTGGACCCAATGAGCCGGAAGCAGAAGCAGCCTAGGCGCGGAGGCCTCCGTCGTGGCAGTGGCTGCGGCTCCCGCCGCTGCCTCGACAGTTTCGCCACCTACTTCGCCAGGGTTCTGAAGCATGTTCACGAGGGCCTCAGCCTCTCGCAGGAGGCCGTGAGCGTCATGGATTCGTTCGTCAAGGATATCTTCGAGCGCATCGCCGAGGAGGCCTCTCGCCTTGCCAGCTTCACAAAGCGCTCCACCATCACCACCAGGGAGATCCAGACAGCTGTGCGCCTGCTGTTGCCTGGGGAGATTGGCAAGCACGCCATGTCCGAGGCCATGAAGGCCGTCATCAGGTTCTACAGATGCAAATGAGCTGCCTCCGGACCGCCTGACGACCTCGCAAACCAAAGGCTCTTTTCAGAGCCACCTCACTTGGCACTAGAGACCTGTAACTCTCCAGAGACCCGCCTACTCTAGCGTTTGGACCTGTGCCATTCTGCCTGCTCTTAAAACACCTTTACCGTGAGCAAGTCCACTTTAATATATGTGTGTGGTGCAGTCAGTTATGATTTCCTTGACCATGTCGCATTTCATCACGTTCCTAAGTGGCCCCGTCCTTCAGGTCAGCGTTTCCGCGACTCTTTACGGTCACGGCTGGGTACACAATAATTTTACTTGCCTTTTGTATTCTCCTTCTCCCACTTGTTTCGAATAGTAACCTATAGAGAATTTCCGAGTGTGTTGATACAGCAACAAGTGAAGCACTGTAGCAGATACCAAACTCACCCTTACCCCATTCACATTCCCTCAACGTATCCCCTCATCCTAATTCAGTTAAATACATAAAAGAGGACCCAAACACCGTGCAGAAAACTCAACCTATCTAGAACTGTGCGCTAGTCAAGCTCCTGACCTTGTGAAAGGCCTACTTTAGGTGATTAATGTAACAGAAATAAATAAAATTTTAAAAAAAGGCCTACGTTACTTCAGTAAAAACTTTTCTAAATCTGTGCCTTGGTAGCATGCCATCTTTACCTTGACACAAAAGGCTTCCTGCCCTGCAATTATGCCTGGATGACAGGGTCATCCAATGAGAGCTTCTGTGCTCCCAGCTTCCGCTGGCAGCAGCCAATAAGCAACTGGAAACGCAAGATCCACGGCCATTGGTCCAAAGGGTGGTGGGGTGACCAGAGCGGAACCAATAATAGCCTTCCTGTGCCTGGAGATTGAGGGGCCAGGGGGTGTGATCGTCGACATGTCTGCCTGTGGGTTTCTGTTGAAGCGATTCCTTTGAACCAGGGTGTTTGAAGTGTCAACATGCAGATGTCACTGGGTCCTGTCCGTGTCGTTTTGCATCAAAATAAGAGGATCCTTGGCAATTAAGAGAACTAAGGTGACTCCTTCCTCTACCTCAACTGATTTGATGGGGAGGTGGACTTAGGGTAATGGTAATGCACTTCAACCCTCATTGTATTTTCCTTCTTGGTGCATGGGCTTTTTCCTTTCTTGGTTTCCTATTCCTATGGGTACATGCTGAATTTCAAAGTGGTTGGTGATTATCCAAGTGCTTTCCATTTAATTGATTTCCAGCTTCCTATATATCTGTGAAGGGAGAACACACTGTAGGGCTGGCGTGGGGGGGCTTCAATCCTTTGAAATTTGTTACAGGTTGCACGAAAACCCACTATTTCGTTGTTTCCCCTGTGTTCCATGTGAACTCTTAAAATAAATTCTAAGTGAACTTTGATTTGAATGTAGAAAGCCTGTGAATGGTGTCTCTCTGAGCCAAACAGTGAGACAAAAGCTAGGTAAACTACAGGAATCCAACCTTTTCTTGAGCCCAGTAATCGAGAGATAAAGCCAACGGGATATGGAAAGGGATGGGGGACTTGCTGCATAAATACCCAAGGAAAGCTACCATAAATGAAGTGCCAGTAAATCCCTGTGGTTGGTCTTTAGAAATGGCCATTTACATGGGGAAGTGAATTTTTGAAGCCAAAAGCGCTTTTCAGAGCCATATGCCTTTTCAGAGAAAGGAGTGTGGATCATTTAGAAAAATAAAATCCTGTTTCACGAAGTCACTTAATTTCTGTCATGCTGATTGCTGCTAGTTCAAAAGGCCCTTTTTGTCCACATGACTTACAATGGTTTTTCAAAGTTATTCATGCACATTGGTCTCATTCATATCATGTTATTTAAAAAGTCATTTTAAGACTGCGAATCCAGAGGAGCATGGGAAGATGGCAGAGTAGGAGGAGCCTGAGCTCACCGCGTCCCACATTAAAAACTAGATATCATCCAGAAAAATTAAATAAACCAGAGAGCACCCCAAGGACTGGAAGAACAATCACCACAAATAAATATAGGGAGGAAGCTGCACTTGAAAGGTTAGGAAGGTCAGAAACGTGGAGGGAGCCTGCCCGCAGGAAGGAAGGAGCTGTGCATGGGGAGAGAGCAGGGAAATGGGCCTCGCACCAGGGAGCTCACACGGGGGAAGCCAATACCCATACTGTTCGGCTGTGGAAACCAGAAGGGCTGAATACCATGAGTTTGTATAACCAGTGGGACTTGGAGCCTGGAGATTTGAAAGTCAGCTGACTCCGTGCTGATCTAATATTGTGTATTAACCAACTGGAATTAAAACAAAAACAAAAACAAAAACAAAAAGAATGGGAATCCATTAGGATATGTGTGATGTATGTCAGGGAGGGAGGGCACACGTGGGCTCTTTTGCATTTGTAATTTCAGATCAAATTGGAGCTCTAGGAAAACAAGGTTAAAATGCACCTAAAATGGGCTGTGGATGGAAGACTGGGAATGCAAATGTGAGTGACACACACGAAATCTGGGAAGGGAGAAAGAAAATGGGGTTCGATGTTGAAGTCCAGAGTGGAAAGTGAATACATCTGACTATTCCCTTCAGTGGGTAGGTCAGGAAAAATGTACCTGGTGAGCAGTCATGGTCTAATGCTGTGGTTACTACGAAGATGATATAAGGGAAGGGCTCCTGCTTCGCTAATATGTCATAAGCATCAACACGGGAAAACAGTACTAATAGGACAAGCATACCCAAGTCAATCTCTTCTCTTTTATTTTTTTAAGATTTATTTATTTCTTTGAGAGAGAGAGACAGAGAGAGAGAGGGAGGGAGTGCACAAACAGGAGGAGCAGCAGAGGGAGAGGGAGAAGCAGGCTCCCTAATGAGCAGGGAACCTGATGCTGGGTTCGATCCCAGGAACCTGGGATCATGACCTGAGCTGAAGGCAGACACCGAACCGACTGAGCCACGCAGGTGCCCCCCAAGTCAATTTCTTCTAAGCGCTACTCATATTAATTCAATTCATTGGAATTGCTTCATTGGAATTCACTGGAATTCATTACAATTCATTGGAAAACAGAAGCAAGGACCCAAACCCAGTACAGAAATACCTAAATCCAAAAGTTCAAGAAAGAAAACCTATTCAGGCTCCCTAGAAACTGAAGTTACTGTTCTGACACATCCAGACTTATCTGACTCTGTTCCTTTTAGGCTACAAACTTTTATTTTTGAGAAACTTAAAATTTCATGACGTGCAACACCTCATCATGGGGATGATGGGAGACTCTGTTCAGAGCAGCTCAAGCCCCACACTCTTCTGAGTCAGCCAATGAGGGGACCTACATCCTCTGAGACACAGCTATTGGCCCCATGTGTGAGAAGCTGTCCCAAGGTAAGCCGCAGGAGACCTCCTTGGTTGTGCCAACTTGGATATCGGTGGTGGTTGGGATGGGGGAAAGAGCTGTTAGTCTTTACCGCCTATTTCTTATGTGCTTGATGGCTTAGTCATATGTGTTTTAATCGTGGTGAATTAAGGATGTTACATTAGCTTTGTAGGGCTGCTAAATCAAATACCAAGGACTGGTCAACTTAAATGACATGTCCATTTATTGCCTCACAGTCCTGGAGGCTAGAGATCCAAACTCATTGTCTGATGGGTGGGTGAGTCTCTGGGCTATGAGGCAAGCATCTTTCATAAGTCGTTCTCTTTGTCCTAAAATAGCCACGTTCTCACAATATCTACTCACATGGTCTTCCCTCTGTGAGGGTCTGTG